GCGCAGCAGGGCTGGAGGCCTCGATCGAGGAGTACCACGCCAGCCGGAGCGCCGCCGTGCTGCAGCACCGGGACACCTGGAAGCTGCACATCCTCATCCCCCTGAGCTGCTGCATCCCGGACAAGCTGGAGGAGGCCGACGACAACATCAGCTTCCTGGACAACCTGCCCGACATCACCATCGACAGGGCCGGCATCCGGAAGAGGGTGTTCAAGCACAGCATCTACACCGTCTACGACCAGGCCAAGAGGGTAGGGCGCTGGGCGCTGGTCTGGACAGGCAGCACCTGTCCGGGGAGAGGGCTCAGCAGGACAGCCCTGTCTGTGCTCCGCAGAGGCTCTCCAGCTTCCAGAGTTGTGAAAAATGATTTAACTAGATTCATGCCGCCTGCTATAGACTATCAAATCTTCAGCAAGGGGTGTGTCACATAGTGAGTTAAGGTGCTTTTTTTGTGGTCGGGATCTAAACATTACCGTGTTTCATACTGTGAAAAGTCATCATATAATCAGTTTCACATGCAATGAATAATGCCATGTGTAAAATGATCTTTTAAAGACTGTTGTAAAATAGATGACACATCCGATCCGTGTAATTAATGGCACTAGCGCTGATGTTGAGTGATCAGCAGGTGACCAAGAAACCAAATTCAGGTTGGTGATGAAATAGACAATGTCTGTAATTTGGAGTTGCGTTCCTGGAGAATTGGGCTGGTATATGATGTCAGCACAGTTACTGTAAATAATAGGAGGCTGTGCTATACATGCAGTAGTGTCTGTAGTATGTGCGTGATTCCCATGAAACGTATGTGAACAATATGAAGAGAATGTTCAGAATACAGAGCACGAGAGCAAAGCTGAAATCTGTAAGTGAATGGAGAGGTTTTAAATATAAGCATACTCTTAACATTAAGAGTTATTAGCTTGAGGGTAACTACCATGGGCCAAAGCAACGTTTGAGTGGAGATGGTCTTCACTGTGAGGTATACTGCAAGATCTGGGCTCTGTGAGTTGACAAAGCCCTGTGAGAGGAGTGGGGTCTAGCCTGCTGCAGAGGTTAATGCCCACTGTGTTTAATTGACGTCGTCTCTCTCGTTTGTGTATGTCTCTCTGTTTTTTGTCTGTGTGTGTGTCTCTGCATGTCTCTTTCATCTGTGTGTGTGCCTTTGCGCGTGTCTCTTGTTTATGCGTGTGTCTTTCTCTCCCATCTGTGTGTGTCAGTTGTTTGTGTGTGTGTCAATGCGTGTCTCTATCTCATCTCCGTGTGCATCCATGCATGTGTCTCTCTCTGATCTGTGTCTCTCTCCTCTGTGTGTCTCTAGCCTCACTACTGTGTGGTGGAGTACGCCACTCCCCTCGTGACCCTGTACCAGATGTCTCAGGAGGCCATGGCAGGCTTCGACGCCGAGGAGCGCCTGCAGCAGAGCACCCTGTTCTTCAGGACTCTGCGGGACATCCTGGAGAGCTCACGCGAGTGCCGCGGGCGCTACAGGCTCATCCTGCTGGACGGTGAGGTCCTCTCAGGTCCTGGGACCCCTTTTGCTTTGAGCCAACTGCAGGGTTTGAGGCGTGTTGAAAAAAGCCCCACCCCCAGACCCGCACAGACCACGCCCTATCCTTGATCCCGCCCCCAGACCCACAAAGGCCACCCCCTGTCCTTGATCCCATCCCCAGACCCACACAGACCACGCCCTATCCCTGATCCCACCCCCAGACCCACACAGACCACGCCCTATCCC